GGACTGACCCGCTGACTGATTTCTGTAGCGATGAATACGTTATGTTGTTCATCACTCTGACTGGTTCTAGCCCTGTCCAATTGCAGAGGCAGTTTGAAGGTCAACATTAGATTCAGCCTTATGACTGAGCTCTTGCTATGAGTCAAGGTCAGACTACATATTTACATATATAAGGCGGGCTGCCAGGCTAGACAGGAGGTGGGTGAGGTGTTCTCCAGCTGCAGCATCACATAGGAATATTTAACCCTCCCACTGTCTTTATGAGTGACCCCGCGAGGAAAGTTGACCATTGAGCAGGATTGATGGTTTATCCCTTGAGGTCCATGTGGCAGGGGTGAGGTGGTGCTCACTCCTCACCCCTGCCACATGGACCCAGGGGATAAACCATCAACCCTGCTCAATGGTCACCTTTCCTCGCAGGGTCACACCCATTAGGACAGTGGGAGGGTTAACCCCCAGAGACCCACGGTTGTAATATTACAACATCAGATTCAAGTCTACAAAAATAAACCTTCCCTTTTTTTTTTCTTTTTAAAACCACATTTACATTGCTAATAGGTCCTATTGTTCAGTTCTGCAACACTATTGGCTGTTAAAACGTGTAAATAGGCCCGTTTATCTGGCCTCCTAGAACAACATGTGAAAGGTTAAAAAAAGATTTTACAGTTGTTTTCTAAATTTGGGTTTCTGGGGGTTAAAGGGAATGTTCACACACACAACGGGGATTTGTTGGGAAAATTAATAACCATGAGTGTCATTCATCATGAACTTGTGTTGATTTACACAGACTCACACACCCCTCTGTGGGGTCATATAATCACAGCAAAGTGACTCTTTTTGAATGTTACATTAGGCAAGAAACCAAAAAGAAAACATTTTCATTTTTAAACATTTTGTTTCTGTCTCTTGTGGAATTTCCCCTTTTTTAAATCTGTAATTCCCACACCCGTGCTGCTTCTTAGAACACATCTGTCTTTTCTCTTTCTTTTACTCAGGTGACTAATTTTGTTCCTGTTCTAAAAGCTGCTTGAGCATGCTATTATCATGAAGGAAGCAAATACTAAGTGAATCCAGTGTTTTCATTGGCTCAGTGAAATGAAACAAGCTGCACGCAGAGTCGGTCATCTTTGGCTTGCAGCCAAATTCTCCATGAGAGCCTCATGTGAGAGCCTATTGGCTGATGGTGTGTGTGTGTGTGTGTGTGTGTGTGTGTGTGTGTGTGTGTGTGTGTGTGTGATCACTGGGGGCTTAGTTATTACAGGAAGAACTACAAGCAGCTATTATCTTTGGCTGTTTTGGTCTATCTTGTCTCTTCTGTCTCGCTGTTGTTACTTTATGGCGATCGCTTGTTGTAACTGTTAACAAATAAGCTTCACAAGCAGAGAGGTGAAGTTGGGAGAATAGCTGACAAATGCATGCAAGGCAGACTGATAACTACTGCACAGAAATAAAGCAGAATTCTGTCATATTTCTTATTCATTTCAAAAATACTTTATTAATCCCAGAGGGAAATTGATTATGCATTTAAATTACCCTTGGAGTGACGTTAACACACATTTGTATGGTCTTAAATACTACTTTTCATCCTGGAATCAGTGTTTCTAAGAGGTTTTGTTCCACCCCTCAGCCAGATTGTCCGTAAACCACAATTCATTTGCAGTTTGACTACTTTTATTTTGTCATTAGAGACTCCTGAAGAGGAAGTACGTTTCTCATGATGGCTTTTGGGCAACGTGAGAGCCTCTTCAGTCTAACAGACGAGGCTTCATTCAGTCCACAGTGCTGCTGCTTTTTGCTGCTGGTGTGGAAATAAAAATGCCACTGGAAACATTTTATTCTGATGCTTTTTATTCAGAAGTCTGATGGGTTCTGGAATAAAGCATGATGCTTTCTTATCTATGGTCTGATGTCTGAGTCTCATTGATCTGTTTTCTGACAAACTCAGACTCGATTATGTCCTTAAATGTACACCGTACCTGAGATTATATTCAGGACTTGGGAAGGACTCCGAGTATTTTCTTACCAAAGAGAATAAACTTGTTGCTGAGTTCCTGATGTCGTTTGTCTGTGTTGAAGCACGCTAATGCGTTCTTGTGTACTTGACGAGTATGATCTTGTGAAGTACAGGAGAAAGTTTTTCTACGGGGTATAAGAGAACCACGTTAAAGGTGAAGTTAGACTGTCTACAGATCCAATCGAGGGTTCTGTTCACATTCATTCAGAGTGTCCTCATTTGGCCAGAATTGATCCTACGAAGCAAGTTCTACACAGCCAGGGTTTTATTTGTTTTGCTGAGTCAACAAAACCTGAAACATCAGTCAGAGATAAAAGGAACCACAAGAGTGATTGTCTGCCCCCAACGATACCATTAACTAATGAAACGGTTACGATGTCAGACAGAATCACTGTAGATACAGTGATGTCTGACGATAATTAGACGTGTCTCTGCCTGGTCGTGCATCTTTGCTATTGTAAAGGGGAAAGTCCATAAAAAGGACCATAGCATCAAATACTCTAAACATAAAAAAAGCTTCAGAACTGAGCTGATTCTATCTTACTTTTATTTACTTTTCCACTTTACTTTTACTACGCAAACACACACACACACGCACGCACGCACGCACGCACGCACGCACGCACACACACACACACACACACACACACACACACACACACACACACACACACACACCATTTCAGGTAGCCCTGAGCGGAGAAACAATAATACATCGAAGAAAACACACAGGCACAGAAAAAAAAACACAAGTCAGCTATAAAACCAGAAAACATGACATTTCTGAAAATAGAATATTGCAGAAAACGCCTCCAGATAAGCCTAAAACATATTTTCTTATGTTACACCCCAGAGCTTATATATACATTTTCCCTCTCTACATTCCACCTTCACTGGGTTGTATATTTTGACTGATAAGCCATCTTGAATCAATTACAAGGGCTATTACCTCCATCTGAACCCTGAACCGAACTCTGCTTATTGTCGTTTTGTGGAGCGTGCAACACGGTTCATGCGTAATTTGACAGATGGGGATTAAATACTTGGAAAGCTGCCACAAGTGGGTGTATAAAACGTTTCAATGACTCGTCACTAGCCCAAACCTAAATCTGGGAGGAAGCTTAGGTAAATTTTCCTCACTCCTGAGACTCGTATCTCATTGAGTTGCTCTGAGGTGTAATTATAAGTTCTGTATTAAGCTAATTATAAGTTCTGTATTAAGCCCCAGTGGGATGAGGTATACATCTCATGGTATAAATTCATTTTGTATGGAAGAAATACAGCTCACTAGAATCTGAGTTTGTTCAGACATTGAATTTTTGACATTGAAATTTGAGACTGACACTATGTAGGGGAAACACTGGAGATTCAACAGCAACACTTTAACATTAAAGAATCAACAGCTATAATTCAACAGTAGAAATTCAAAAACAGAAATTCTACAACAGAAACTCAAAAGCAACAATTTTACATCAGAAATCAAACAGCAAATATTCTAAAACTGAGGTGACCTCCTTGCGACCCAAGTCAAAGCAATCGTCACTCGATCGAGTCAATACCTCACTGGTATCGTGTCATGAGAAAAGCGTAATTTGATAAAAAGCCACTCTACTCGATCGAGTGACAACATAGGAGGTCACCTCAGTTGTCCAATTTTTGCTGTTGAATTCTCGCTGTTAAAATTCTGTTGTTCAATTATTGAATATGAAACTTTGAAGTAGAATCTTTGTGGACGAAGCTTTTGCTGTTGAATGTTATTCCACCTTCCTCAGGATCCACTGATTTCCCTCTTTCCTATTCACTCTGTCTCTTTCTTAACATTTTTTCTTTTAAATTGCAACAGCTTATTCTTGCTCCTTTTAAATATATTTTAAACATTTTCGAAAAGATTTTTATATTTTTACAATTTTTATATTTTTTGTTTTTGTTTTTGTGAAGCACCTCGTGATTTTTGTCTTGAGAGGCGCTATAGAAATGATAGTTTCTTCTTCTTCTTCTTCTTTGTTTAAAAAAATTCTAATAGATAATTTCATAGAATAAAACTCCAATATGATAAATTCTGTGCCTAAAAAGTCCTATTCTGGTGAGACTATTTCTTCCATCATTGTGTGGGTAACATACGTTCTCAATGATCTTTTTTTTTTTTTGTTTAACTGGGAGGCTTGTTGCCATTCTACTCTCTCTAGTCAGAGATGTTAGCTCTGCTTTGATTAATAAACCCCATTAATATCATGTTTGGAAGAATTACCACATCCATAATTAATGTCTCAGCCTGATTTTAATGGCTTTCATCTGCATTGATTCAGTTGTAATGGGATGAGCTCTGTTGATTCTTGTAAACAATCACTCTTCCTTTGTTTCTTCCAACATGCCTCCATGTTAATAAAAGTGTGAAATCAGCACTAAAGGCCTGTATGTTGTACTTTATTACTGCCTCTGGCAAAAAAAAAAGAGAGGCAAGGGAGTAGGTGATTTTATTAGGATTATTAATGCGGGTTCCTATTTTTAGCTCCCTGCTGGAATGCTGAGATTTGATGGAGTCACTGAGTGCTGAGTTTGCACCACTCAGACGGACTCGTTGTGGCAGACAGCAGACACCAGTGTGGTGCTGCCTCCTGTGGTGGGAGAAGAAAACACACCTCTGACTGACTATTCCGTGAATGAATGAAGCGTTTGGAGCCAAGCCCAGGACGAGAGATGCTTAGTCTGTGTTTCTGCCTTGCTGTGCCCAAGTTACTCTCATGATTGATAGTCGGAGGCTGCTTCTCCATAATAAGCAGCTGGCCCAGTTTTTTCCAGAGAGCCAGCCAGTTTTCCCGATGACCTAATGATGCAGAGAAATGTTTTTGATTTCACGGAATGGTGGTGCTGACTCGGAAATACAAACATTGTCTTTAATTAATAAATACTTTTTGTTGAGTGCACGCAGTGTGTGTCTCACGGCTGCTCTCATTACTCCTAATATGAAATGTCTTCTCTCCCTTAGAGCTTTCTTCCTCGATCAGTCTAATATGCCGCCCAGCGCTGCACCCAAAGCTGCATTCATAGATAAGGTGAGAGCACTCAGCATCCTTCTGCATTTGCAGTGACACTACGTAAAGACTTGCATGACGCAGTATGTGTGTGCATGCAAAATCCAAGTTTGCAACTGCACCAAGCTGAGAAGAAGGATCGACTCTTATTGGTTCTGTCTGTACTGAAGGTGTCCTCCAGCACTTGGCGATCTGTAGATATTCTGCTTAAAAACAATTTTCCTGTCTGTTCCTCTAATGTCTATGCCTTTGGTTCTGCCCAGTTAATGCGCCCGTTGAATGCTCTAGAGGAGCTCTACCGTTTGATGGAGAGTTTCATCAGCTGCCGTCGCACCGCTGCCTGCCAGTACACGGCCTGTGGGGCCTCTGGAGTCGGGCTACTCACCGTGGCCTCTGAGCTCTGCTCTCGTCTGGGAGCCACACACGTCGTCATGTGCAACAGTGGCGTTCACCGGTGAGTGTGCTCTGTATTTTCCCTCCACCAAAAATAAAAAGACTGACTTATTAGGGACACTTTGAGTCTTCTTAGGTATAATTTGGAGCCATCACATTTTAACGCAAAACTTGATAAGTTTCCCTCTTCTCCCTTCCACTGGTTAAAAGTGAAATTACAACTGTCGTAAACAACCTTGCTGCAGCCTGCTGTAATAATAATTATAATAATAATGCATTGAACTTATATAGCACTTTTCTAGACACCCAAAGACGCTTTCACACACTCTCACATTCACACACTGCTAGTGATGGTAAGCTACTTGTAGCCACAGCCGCCCTGGGGAGGTCTGACAGAGGTGAGGCTGCCATTTGGCGCCGTCGGCCCCTCTGACCACCACTAACACAGGCAAGTTGGGTGAAGTGTCTTGCCCAAGGACACAACAGCAGGATACCCCTGGCGGGAGCTGGAATCAAACCCATGACCCTCCGATCATGAGGCAACCCGCTCTACCACCTGAGCTACTGCTAGAGCTAACACCAAGCTAACGTTAACACAGGCTAAGTGATACAAAATAAGCCACAAAGAAGAGTTATCGACACATACAAGTCCAGTTGCAACAAGGCCAGGTCACCATCAGCCTGTGATTTTGAACCACTGAAATCAGTTTGAAAGCAACAGATTAAAGTGATACAAACTACTTAGTGATGTTTTAAGATGGAAACTACAGCAAAATGACCTTAGTAAGTGTGTTAGTAGATAGGCCATTCACAAATCATAATCTGAATGCTGATTATGTGGAAATTTATTACATAAAATATTGTATTTATATCAAAGTTTCTCCCTATTTTCTAATTTTCTTTGTCACTCACTGACAGCAGGGATATTCTTAGGAACAGTGCTTGCTGTTTCTCAGTTTAAATTAGGCAGAACACTTTACAGACTAAAATGACAAGTCAATTACCTCCATTCTCATTGAATTCTATACACGGCTGCCTAATTCACCTGCTGCTGAGGGCGCTATTCATCAGCGCAAAAGGATGGAAATATCCTGATCGTTTGTCACCGCTGATTCCCGCTTCCAGCTTTCATCTTTCATCTTCATCTCCTCAGCTACACTCGTCCACCCATCTGTCCTATGCCCCACCTCTTCACACTGTGACACTTTCCATATCTTTTTGTCTTCGTCTCTCTCTCTCACACATGCACACACACACACACACACACACGCGCGCGCGCGCACACACACACACACACACACACACACACACACACACACACACACGTTGGTATTTATACACTTGTAGGGACTTGTCATTGACTTCCATTCATTTTTGTGGCTGAATCATGCCTAACCCATACCCAAACCCTAACCAATGGGGTTCTATTCCTAACCCTAACCCTAACTAAAGTTTAATTCACATCATAGCTCTACAACCAAGTTTTAGGGGGTTCTCCTTTGTGGGGAACAGCCAAATGTCCCCACAAGGTCAAAATGTCCCCATGTTGCAGGATAAACCCGAGACATTGTCCCCATAAAGTAATGAATACACTGTCCACACACACACACACACACACACACACACACACACACACACACACACACACACACACACACACACACACACACACACACACCTGTGCATTCATGCAGTTACTATATGAGACTGATGGCTTGATAAAGGGCTGCAGAGGGAGCCTCCCGCTTGTCTGAGCTCTGAGAGAAACGTCCTGTCAATGCAACGTGTCCCGCTACTTTATTAACCTGCAATCCTCACTGTGTGTATGTCTCAGTGGTACACATGCAGGCAAAGTGCACCATAATGTAGCAGGTGACAACTGCTGTCATATTTTCAGTTATTTGTGTCCTCTTTAAATGCTGCTTCACCTTCAGAAGCTGCAGAATCAGGAGTTCGGTTCAGAAGAGAACAAATCACATTCAGAGTCATAAACTGTGGCAACCAAAGCTTAATTTAGAGGCCGATAATTATTGATAGATCATAAATATGCTGCAATAAATTATCCTGCATTCAGAATTTTTAAATCAGATGCAGCCGTTGAGAACTGTAAGCGCCGTGAAACCAAAGCACTTGATCAGTCATGTGGATATGACTTAATCAGAGTGGCGACCTTTTCAGGGACTATTGAAGGTTTTGGAGGAATTGAAAGGTGAGAATTTTCTCTCCAAATTTCTTTTATCAAACAAAAAAAAAAGAAAATCTACTCCAAAAAATAAACTAAACTTTCCTCACCTAAACCTTTTCCTTTATTTCATTATTTGTTTGAAGGTTTCCTAGAATTTAAAACCACAGTCATCCTGTTGTTGATTATAGGGAGCCTAAGTCACGCCCATCTACTTCAGGACCATGGGTCTCCAGGACAAAGAAAAAAATGAATGCAAGTCAATGAAGCTATAAATCTATTTTTTTAAATCCCGTTTGTTATATTTCCGTGGATTTCACAAATGATGTCCGGGAATTTTAAAGACAAATTTTGATGCCAAGAAGGCGTTTATTTCAATTGTCCAAATAGTCATAATTTGATGTAAAAGCCGTTTCAAACAAGCTTTCGCAATCTGGTTCCACCCCGTCGCATCAGCCCGCCCACCAAGCCAATAGAGCGCCTTGATTGGCCCACAAAGCTGATAGAGTGCTGTGATTGGTCCACCATTGTGGAATAATTACAGCACTCTATTGGTTTGAAACCCAACAGAGAGCTGTGATTGGCCCGCCAGAATGCCACTAGGGGGCCGTTGAGATTCCAATGAAGCGTTCGTAGTTCACTGGGCTAGCGATGTATGGCTGCTTTCATGATCCTGCTTGGAATACTTTTACTGCTGATTCCCATCTGAAATGCTTCCAGTGGGAAGGGACGCGCCACAGAGCTTTCAGGGAAAATGCATCTTTTAGGTTACTCATCTCAAGCATCAGCATGGCACCATGGAGGTAAACCAGCCAACCAGCATGCAGCTCATTTAACATTCATTTCCTGGTTGAGTGGGTGGGGCAAACCTTTCATTTGTAGGGATTTATTATTTTTTGTTTGATCATTTGTCTGGGCTTCTGGACCATTGTGAGCCCCAACAAAGTTTCATATGATATAGAGACTCAAATAATAGTTTAACTTGTTCTAGGGCATCTTCTCTGATTGTTCTTTTACTATTTCCTGATCCTTTGTGTAAGTCTCTCTCACATTTCTTATTTATTAATGAGAGAACCACAGATTGTAAACGGGATACGTACTGGAATGACATAAAACAGATGAGTATAAAATAAATGATCTCATACAATCTCACCAGCGCTAATGAAACTGGAAACCATGGTGCTTTACACACTTACACGCACGCAGTTCCTTCATCTGGCTCCAGCTGACGAGATATTTAAAGACCCTCACTGGGTGACTCCTTTTTAAACGAATTTCAGTCAGTGTGTTAAAGCTCAAAAAGAGCTCTCAAAATATTCAGTAGTGGCCCATAAAATGACTTTTATCTGTATTTTACAGCAATATCTCTCAGAACATTCTCCAGATGATTTGTGTGGTTTGCTACTTTAATCACATCATGTCAGATTGTCATAAACATATGTAACTGAAACCAGAGAGGATGTTTAAATCTTGATCTGATTTACCTAAAGCAACAAATTCTGGCTGCAATAGCTCAATGTTTTTCTTCTCACTTTTCATTAAGCATTAAATCCTATTATGGGAGCAGGAGATAATACACAAATGACTCAGGTGTCAAGGCATTGTTATTAGAAGGAGACAAACCTGGCAGCGTTGGAGCTTTGGACAGTTTCATTTGCAGTGAAAATACACTGGATCAATACACTAGTGCTGCTTGTTATCATAGAAGGGTCACTGTGACAGCAGTGTCTGTCACCTCAGTGACTTGGAGTTTCCCATGGAGTCTCACACTTGCAGCTCATCTCCTCAGGAAGCCTAATCAGCACTTCTGGGATCTACCAACTACCAAGGGAGAGGAGATTCATGTTTATGCTTGTGTTTAATTTAATGTAGATGTTTTCTGTTATGGATAGGAAGTTTGTAATTATGATTTAGTTATTTGAGTTACCTGAATTGACTAGACTGGTTAGTTTGTTTGTGTGAGGATGTGTGCGTTAATTGTATGTTAATTGTTCCCCTCCTGTATGTAGAGTGGTCTGATCAGCCGCTTTTTAAGTTGAACCTGGTGTGTCTGAAATGTCTTTTTTTTCTGGATAGAGTGTCTTGTGCTGTGATTAGGGCCTAGTCCACATGTAGCTGTTTTTTTTTAAAAACGAATATCCGCCCCTCCAAAAACTTGCATCCACACCACCGCGTTTTAAAAACAAACTCTGTCCACACGTACCCGGATAAATACGTTGTTAAGGACATGCCAGACCTGTAGGCGGCAGTACTTCCCCCGTTCTTAACCTCATCCTTCGTCTGTGGTCTTCCGCAAGGAGCAGTAATTCCGCTTGCAAAAACAAACAAGCAAAAAGCGCTTGGACAATTGATGGATCGGGTAGTGACAGAGCGCAGCTCTGAGGGCTTCCATGATGCCGGCTAGTGTAAACACAGGTCGCACACGTGATGTCAGCATTTTTTGTTGCGGAAAGTGACGTTGCGGACCTTAAAACTCCGGTTTTGTCTGTCCACACGCAGACACCCAAAACGGAGAAAACGCAGATCTCCACTTTGGCCGGAGTTTTTAAAAAGATCCGTTTTTGTGTGAAAAAACTCCGTTTTCGTGTGGATGACAGGCCAAAACGTAGAAAAATATCTACGTTTTGGCAGATCCCCGGCTACGTGTGGACAGGGCCTCAGTTAAAGTTCCTGTTAACTTTGAAGCTGCTCCAAAATAAAATGGAGTTTTGAGTCTCATGAGCAGTGCTTCTCTGGCTGGTTTGTGCAAGTCCCTGACAGTACCCCAACAGCCTTGACACTTGTCACTGACTCTAAGGATTTAGACATGTTGTACCAAGTGTGTGTGGTGAATGTATGGAATGGAAAACTAAGTTTTCATGAATTCTACACACACCTTAGATGGTGAAAACGCGTTGTCCTCTGACCTTTTCTACAAGCATCAATCCTGCATTTCTGTCCCTATATATGGTGTTCCTCTGCTTGTTGGGACTGCCTTTCACTGGCACTGAAATCAAGTGAAATGATTCATTAGTGAGGATGAGCAAAGGCCAAACAGATGGAACGTGATGACATGGTGCAAACGGATCAAAATGTGCTCACGGAAATGTGACGCTGTCGACATAAATTTTATCAAAGAAAGAGACAGATCGTGGATGGAGCCCAAAATGAGCCGGCAATGGGATTTTTTCAGAAGCTGGTTTATTTGGCATGAAAATATGTTGGAAAACTGAGTAAGTTTGCTTTGGTGATTGCGAATTTTCAGTAGCAGTGGAAAAAAGGAAGAAAATGTGTTTTAGTTCATATTTTCCTACCTTATTTATTTATTTTACCAAAAGTTACGTTTGCCTAGCATGGCTAGATACACATTTATACTGCTACGCTTTGTCTGGATTTCTAGGCAAACATTACTACAGACTCATTAACAATACGTGATTCGGCTTCCTTGTGAGAACAACAGCTAACACCTTTTATTCTACATTTGATCAACAGCTGCACTCTGAGTGTGACACTGGAGCAGGCCATCCTGCTGGCTCAACACCATGGCCTTCCTCCTCGCTGCATCATGCAGGCCACTGATGTCATGAGGAAACAGGTGCGTGATTTGCATATAAACTAAATTAAAGGGACTTTACGGAGTTTTGAATCTTTAGGCTCGCGATTGCCCCCTCAGGCCAAAAGCGTAATGGCAGCTTCAATAGTAGGCTCGTGCACGAGGCGCGCATGTTGTACATGCACACTCCTTAACGAAAATAACAGCTGAGACGGTCAGCTCCGTGTGTGTGTGTGTGTGTGTGTGTGTGTGTGTGTGTGTGTGTGTGTGTGTGTGTGTGTGTGTGTGTGTGTGGCCCAGAGGACAGGAGAACACGCAGCTAATTAATTAAATAATTTGGTTCAGTACCTTTCTCTTCAGCACAGCAGACAAAGGTTTATGATGGGTCAGTCTTCCTGCATGCTCAGATCATTCCCTTCCCTTGATTGAAAAATTGTTCCAAAATGAAAGTTGAACCCACATCTTTATCTGTGAATTCAAAGCCGTTTGGCGAGTCTCAAAAATGTGGGCGTCTTACTGTAAAAAATATACCATTAATGTAAAACAAACTCTAAATAAACTATGTTTACATCCAGAATCAAACCCAGGTCTTCTGCACGAAAGTCCGATGTCTTACCAGGCAAGCTAACGCACCAGTGATGTTACTTGTATCTGTACCATTTAAGAATGGTTTGGAGGGCGATGCCTGAGCGTGAACTCGCATGAAGCAGCCTGCTCGACCCGAGCAGCTCTCTTTTTCTGTGATTTTACAGAAAAAGAGGCAATCACAGTAAATATGCCAGGGCTCATTCTACAGGACCAGGGCATTGCAGGAGAATGTATGAAGAAGAAATTTATTATTTATATACTTGTTTTGGCTGTCAAACTTCCATAATGCCCCTTTACGTTTAATAAACAAATCTACTGATTTCTTATGGAAATATAGAATTAACAGTTTTAATGTGGGAATGATGTAGTTTAACATTATTAAAGTCACTTAAAAATGCTTACATTTATCTATCTAATATGGATTTGGATTGGTGAAATTCTGGTGATGCAATACATATCACGATACAGGGTAGACGATACGATATATCACAATATGATGTGATACATTCAGCCAGACGACATTAGCAATTATTTTAGACTGAAATTAATGTAGGAAATTTTGATAACCAGTCCAAACATGTTTAACATGAGGTATCTGAACCATAATAGAGGGATCTACATTTCAGTGGTGGAAACAGAACCCATTGCACACTGCTGCAAACTAGCAGTCGGTGTCTGAATTGCACCAAAAGAAAAGAAAATATGTAAAAGTTTGCATGTAAATTATTCAAAAATTCGATACACGGCTTTTGAATATGGATATAATATCACAGGAAAATACATCATGATAAATTGCCATAGCGATAATTTCTTACAAACCTACTATCTAACCTGTCAGCTCAGCACATCAACCTAGCTTGAATGCTAACTCAACCTGCATTGAATTAATGCAAGTCTGCAAACTTCAAGCCTACTGTGGAAGATAGAGGGGAACAAAAAGGGATTTATCTATTGTGTGCTGGTGCTTCATGATTAGTGTTAAACATTGCACTGCATCGGACTGTTGCTTCAGCCTTTTGTAGCATTAGCAGGGGCATGCTACCATTGCGAGTGCTGGTTTCCTGTCTGTTTTAGATGTTTCCTTACTTGAACGCTGCAGATTTTGTTAAAACTGAGGGATTAGCAGCTCCTGCAGAACCAGATGAAGGCTGAGGCGATCATTCAACAGTTTGAATCAGGTGGGTCTGAGCAGGAACATATCAAAAACATCCAGTCACAGCGGCCAGCCTTTAGCGCTACAAGGTTTTTTATGTGCGTTGTATGACGCATGGCTTTATGCTCCTTCTGAAGGGGAGGGGGCGGGAACTAAGGCCATTCAAATTTCTAAATCCCCTCCTCCTCCTCTCCTTGATGATGTCACGCTACGGAGCCCCGCTTTGAGAACTAAATGGTTAGGAGTTTGATGTTTAAGAAAAGCATAGCTGTATGCTAATGTTTACTTCTATTTCTCCATACAGGTCCTAATATAATTAATGGTTCTTGTCTACATAATGTCTTTTACATCGTCATGCGTCACCTCATATGCTATTTCAATCTTCTCACAAATGCTCATCATTTCTACCAAAGAATTAAGGACTAATAACAGATTAAGAATCTCATCGGGAATCAGGAACTTTGGTGAACTGATGGCTCAGTCATTAGGATGCAACCAACTTGAGCACCAGCGCCATTAGCAGCAAGTCTCTAGAATGATTCCCAACCTACTGCCCCATTAGTTGTATGGCCTCCTGTGATTTTGCAGCTATTTGAGAAAATCTAGTAATTAAAATGTCTCCACCCCTTCTAGAAAATAAAGTTGTTAAATTCTGTTTTAGCAAAATGTGATTCAGGTTTTTCTTCATGCCTGTTTTGGGTCAAGGGTGGAATTTCCATCACTTCTTTTGACACAGAGATTTTCACCCCATAAAATTGTCTATCCATGACCAGATCTTGGCCTTCAGCTCAAACTCTCGTTAGAAGTGTTGTCATTGATAGTTATATAGCCACTTGAAGTGGAGAGGTTAGTCAAGAGGCTGAGATTTCGCTGGACTTCAAATTATAGTTCATGGAAGGTGGGACTGCAGCCACAAGGGCAGCACATACATTCCTTTTTTATTATTAGTTTTTGTGATGTGAAATACAGAAGCAGAGCAGAAGGAATTCTAATTTTATGTGTGTGAGAGTGTGAGTTTGTTTTTATGACATAGTGGGGACCATGGCCTTACCACTTATGAGGACCTCAGTTAATAGTGAGGACCGAAATGTCTTTTAATAGTGAGGACCGAAATGTCTTTTACATTTTTCCATGCTATGAAATGTCATATGAGAAAGCTGATTACTTGAATGGCTCCCATCCTTACTGAAGAGTTGTACAAAAGGTCATTAGAGCAATCTGAGGCCCTGCAAGGCCCCTGCCATCAAAACTGTATAGACATCTATGGTAGTATGTCTCGCTCTGAACTTGAGATTGTTATACACACCTTCACCTTCTCACGCCTAGACTACTGCAACTCGCTTTTCACTTGTCTGAGCGAAACCTCCCTGAACCATTTGCATGTGGTTTAGAATGCCTGAGCTGCATTTGCGGAGCGTTTTGCTTCTGTGAGAGTGGGGAAAGGGGTAACAGCGCGCGGAATGTTTCGGTGCTGTGCATTGGCCATGAGAGCGCAGGGATTGATTTCATAGCTGTGGCGCTAGAAAGCCAACGCAGGGTAAACATTACGATATATTTATTTATTTTAATAATTTTTTTTTGTTCCTGTAAAGCGCTTTATCTTTTTAACAGATTTAGATTTTTACGACAGTTATTTTTAATTGGTTTTTCATATATTTCTGTTTTGCAAGACTTCTAACTCTAAGATTCCTGTTGAATATCCAACTTATGTTCAACTTTATACAATTCTTGAGTTTTTTTAATCGTCAAATATTTGTTTACCACAAACTCTATAAGAAGGGGATTTTTATTTTTGTTTTTGCATTGTATCCCAACTGGTCATCTCTGGGTCCTGCGTCCTTCAGTGGCATCAGGGGGCATCTCTGTCTGGAGGCACGAGAATGGATGACTGCGATAGAAATCGAGTAAATGCTGATGCTATCCGTTTGTCCGGACGTAACTCTGAGCTGACAGTAAGATGGCAAATGGCAGAGTTGTAACCAGTGGGTCAGCTAATGCACTTTCAGCTGGATGCTCTCTCGGTGCCTCGCAGCTAAACGACGAGACATTCACGACCCCTTTAAAAAATGATTTGTGTATTTTTATGTAGTTTTGCTTATGTGTGTGCAGCACAGATGTGAAAGGAGCAGGTAAAGGTCTGAGTGCAGATGTCCTGCAACTCTGTTGGGGTGGATCGGCAGACTCTTCACACAGTCAGCAAAATAAAGAGACTTTAGAAAGGAATACAGTACATGCTCCTGACTGTGCACAATAAAATGTGCAAAACACACAGGCATCCTACTAATCTTCAAAATCCATTACAACTTGCTTTGATTTCCTTGCAAAACTCATTCTGGGGTGAACTATTTTACTTTGATCATTAAGAAAAGAATAACTTAACAATAGGTACACCTCTAGTGTTTTTCTGTGCACAACATGACTCCTGCTTTATATTCTACAATATTTATAGGATGTAGTTCAGCTTATAATTTATACATTTACTCCTGGTGTTCACTGTCCGTCATTCTAAGCCTGACAGGAAGTCGTCTCACCTGGGGAAACTCATGTCATTAAACTGAAAAGGTCACCAGAAATGGGCTTTAAGCCAAGGTGGTGTCCAATCAAGGCTGCATCATTGGCCCAACAGCTTTTCACAATAAAAGCGTTCCATGAGTCTTAATTCTGATGTTAATAAAATTCTCCAGCGTAAAAACAAAACAATCAAAAGAATAACTATTGAAATAAGACTTCTCAGCATTTCATCCTCCAAAAGCTGAATCATGCCTATTTTAGTCCTGAGTCTTGATGATAATACAGGTTATCTTGGCGCTTTTGGTATTTTTAGCTCCTGATCATCATTTCATGAATTATTTGTGTCCGTTTTGTCTTTTAGGGAGCAAGAGTTCAAAACTCTGCGAAGAATTTGGGAGTGAGGGACCGTACACCGTCATCAGTCCCGAGGTAAAACAATCCCGTGCTTCTGTGTCATGTAAATACTAGTGTTTTATACTTTAGTGGTATAAAAATGTACTCTAGGTTAGTAGATTTTAAATAAAGTACCTACAATACACAGTATTATGAAACATGTATTAGTTTAGTTTTGAATATACTGTGTTAAATAGAAATTTATATGAATAATTACTTCTTGCAACTTTGGGCACATTTGATAAAGCATCTTTTAAAATGAAATCTTGTTGATTTAAACTGCTTGTGGACGGAAGAACTTGAAATACTTGATTTAATGAAGCAGTGTTTGTGCTAACTCATTTTCGCCTTGACATGTTAACTTTGATGTGAAACTTAAGCACAACTTTTTTAAGAAAACCTCTCACAACAGTGGTGTTCTGAGTGGAGGACCCAGGGAAATATGGCGGTTCGGCGAGAACGACAACCAGATGTCCAATTATTGGCAGCGGTTTTTAGACACATATGAGGGAGCAACTTGGTTAATTAATTTTTAATCTCTAAAACATTTTTATACTATACAATACTGTTAGAATGTTGTTAAGAGGCATGAAAACAATTTTATAGCAAATTTGTTTTCCAAATTTGCCATTGCAACTCAAATATGGCCACTCAACAATGTCACTAGAACTCCTAAATTGCCACTGTCCAATTTATTTGATCTAATTTTCCTCTAATTAGACATATTTATTTGCAATTTTTCCCTTTTGTTTAACTTACTTCATTGTATCTTAGTTTATGACCATCCATCCATTTTCTTCTGCTTATCTGGAGTTGGGTCGCAAGGGCTGCCGTTTAAGCCGAGAGGCCCAGACTTCTCTCTCTCCAGCTACTTGGGCCAGCTCCTCCGGGGGGAATCCCAAGGCTTTCCCTGAGCAGCCGAGAGACGTAGTCCCTCCAGCATGTCCTGGGTCCTTCCTTTAGGCTTTCTCCCTGTAGGACATGCCCAGAAAACCTCACCAGGGAGGTGTCCAGGAGGCATCATAACTAGATGCCCGAGCCACCTTAACTGGCTCCTCTCGACAAGGAGGAACAGCAGGTCTACTCTGAGCCCCTCCCGGATGGCCGAGCTTCTCACCCTATCTCTAAGGGAGAGCCCAGCCACCCTGTACAGAAAACTAATTTCAGCCGAGAGCTTTGCCTTCCGGCTCAGAGCTCTCTTCGCCAGGACAGATCGGTACAACGCCCACATCACTTTAGCCGCAGCACCAATCCGCCTATCGATCTCACGTTCTATCTTTCCCTCACTTGTGAACAAGACCCCGAGATACTTAAACTCCTCCACCTTAGGAGGGACCTTGTCCCTGACCTAGAGAAGGCATTCTACCCTTTTCTGATTCAAGACCATGGTTTTGGATTTAGTTTATGACCTTAAATCTTAAATTTTACGCTACAGTTATACAAAGATACAAAATGCTGTCTGGTTTGCAGTCCTGCAGCTCTGGTATGTGTGTGAAGTCCATCTGTCCGCTTTTCTAAGCAATGCTGATGCCAAATACTCATTTAATTCACATTAGGTTGAAGACGCAGCACTAAGTAGAGGAGGAGGGCTGCCTCAGTCATTTAGCTATAACGTGTACAGCCGGTTTTCTGAGACAGGCTGCCCTTTGAACCTTTTAGTAAAATTGACATCTACAGTTAAGTAGCAGGATGATTAGCACTCAGATGTGAAGCTAAACCACTGCAGTCTCTGTACATTTTGTTAAACATTCAAATGTATTTTACGAAATGGGAAACAAAACTCACACATGTGGCTTAATGGCAGCAGATTCATCAGAAGTATTTTTCTTCCTAAAACTTCGACTAAACCTCTGAAAACTCGTTCCTGCAGCCTCTGGGCTCGAGAACCAATTAGCAGATCGTTGCTTTGTGTTTCTGTGCGTGTTTTATTTCCTTAAGGTGCTGCATGTTGAATATAATTAAATGTCACATCGTATATGTTTCTCTGATCAGGTTGTACAAGCTGTGCCAGCCTCCGCCTGCAGATGGGGATCCATAATGCATTGCAGTCAGGAAGATGGGGAAGAGCATCTCTTTGAAAGCCTTGAAAGTTGGTCTCTCCACCTGATGAAGATGATTTATATGTGCAGACTGCCTGCCTAAAGTGTAAATAAAACATTCAAGCCGTAAATAGTATTTTAATACCTTTTGTTTTTGTTGTGCTTTTTACATATTTTGATTTTTATATTGTGTCAGACTAGAAAAGGTGTGTTTAAATAGCTCATTTGAAAACAAATGAACACCACTGCCATAAAAGGAGCTGAAAAGGAACTTTTGTTGTTTGTTAGTTTAATTTGCATATGTTAAAAATATATAAAGAAGAATACTGGAAGTAATTTGACATTTAATTTGCTGTGTCAGTTCTGTCAGTATTGCATATCATTGCAGCTGTTGTTTCTCACTGATCCAGATGTCTAAATGTGCTGCATTCTTATTATAACGCTCATTTATTTCTCAGTATTATTGCAGTCACTTTTGAGTGCGTCAAGTCTTGTTCTGTTTCTGTTTTCTTCACCCAAGCAGCACAAAGGATTAAAGAATTTGTTTCTTCGTTTGTGGCTCACTACTATGCAAAATAAGAGATAATGAAAAGCAACAAAAAGCTCCAGCAGTGTTCACAAATACAAGTCTTTAAACGATGTAAAAGCAAAGGATTATTTGCATATTTGCTTCAAAATACTAAAAATGCTGACCTATCCAATTTGTAAAATGTATTAAAGGACGTCTGAGTGATAGATGTTGCTGTGCTTTTGTTAAGAAATGGATAAAACATTGATAATTTTATTTTTATAAACATCAACATTCCTGACTGAAATAAGATTAAAATAGTTCATAATGATGATAAAGTCTCGTTTTCAAATTCAAAGCCGGTAATACATTACAATAAGGGTTCCTTTATTAACGTTACTTGGTGTGTTACTAAGTTTCAATAAACTATTAAATAAAGCATTACAAACAACTATATAAACAGTTGATACGGTAATGTTTTTTTTAATGTCCTGTAGTCAAAAATAAGTTTTTGTTATAAAAGCTACAATAGCAAATCTGGATAACAAGCTAGCTTAAAACATTTTTTCATGCCTCTGTAATGAGTTAATTTACATGTTATTTAATGACCCTTAAGACATGAGATGAATATGGAATCAATCTGATGGACTTTTGGGTAATAAATGTGATGTCTTCGCACCAAGCTTTGGTTAGGAGATTCATAAACACATTCAACGCCATTCAGTCGGTCTACGTACCCTTAGCGGAAGTCCCCGTCTAGATCAGGAGGTGTAAAGGTCCAGCTTGACCGTTGTGGTGCCAAAGCCTGTAGAACCAGCCGCGGCAGCTGATCACCAGTCTTGAGATACTTCTGGGTCACAGCAGTTTGTTGGCATCTAACAAGACTCAAAACTGGGTCGTGATGGTTCAGCTTTTATTCTGAAAGGAACCGTTGCAGCAGTTGGAACAGAAACCGATTTTATCCAGCTTGTCGTTGGTTCTTTCGGCTGAAGAGGAAAGTTACGGATTGGCCACTCCGACACTTCTCTAGAACGTTTTGAACTGGCGTTAAAGATGACGTGGGCATAGTTTTATACTTCGGATGTTTTGGTTTATGGTCGAATGAAAAGGTGACAGATTTACCAAGCACCACCAAAACCACGCCTCCGTCAGATCTGGCAGATTCTGATTGGATCAGTAAAAGCAATTTGTCATGTCTTAATGCTAGGTGAGATCAGTTCTAGTGGAAACATTTAAAGTCATATTACTTATTATATTCTATAGGATTATAATAAAGTAGTTAATATTTTCATTTCACAGATTAGTCACATCTTATTATTGACTAACACTTTGTTTGATTAGCTTGATTAAAAATAGAGTTCTTTGATTTATTAAAAGGAGAGAGTCCTTTCTTCATTCTTCTCTTGAGCTGGAAAGAAGCAGTTTAGAAGCAAATGCATGAGACCTTGAGGCCATATCTCATGCAGACTAGTTCTGTGTCAGAGGAGAGGGGGAAAATGACTTTTAGGTGGAAAACAGTCATTTCATTCCGTTACACCTCTTAACAACGTTCTAACGTAGTATGACTTTATACTGTATATTTTGTGAAGATAAAAAATTTGGATGTATATGAACAAACCATTTGGGTGCCGACAGGGTTTGTCTGCGGTTTCCATGGTGGCCCCACATGGATTTGCTAACATATATTTTAACAAAATTTGCATTGAAAGAAACGCTAATTAGTTTTTATCTACCTTAATCTTTAAATACTTGCTGTGCATTAGTCGTTTCTGAACTGTCAGATGGAGAAAGGCTTATTCTGGAGAACTTGGCTTTTAGTATTGAAAATATAAATAATGAGTGAACTTGATCTTTAAGTTTAACTTTCTTGAATCAACATAGACCTCTCACTTTTTCCTTTTAGGTTCCAACATTATTGTGTAATAGGAAAGTCTTCCTTCAACACACAGCTTAGGTTTGTAAAAAACCCCGACATGAATAAGGAACCAACGGACCAAAACGTCCTGGCCCTTGAAACCATTTAACTTCAAATCTATAGATATCATCTGAAGTGTTCAGACCAAGGAGCCGATCAATGGAAAATGCTGCTGGTGATGCTTTCATAGTATGCAGGTGAAATGGCTTAAAGAACCTGAAAACATAAACGCAAGGTTAGAGTTTGCAGTGCTATGATCAAAGCTAAAGAATCAAAGATCAGTGCCTAGTTACACCCAGTCCAATCTTTGAGTACTACATGTTCTTTAGATCTTTGTTGTATAACTCTTTTTTTAATATTTCCATTGTCAGAAGGTACTGAAATATTAGAGCATTTCAAAACGCTAGATTTTACGAGGATAAAAAAGTACAATACTTAGCTAAATTATTTCCATATTTATTCCACTGTGTTACTGAAAGATTTTAAAGTAGGTTATTTTTTTTACTCATTTATTCTGTTATTTGATATTGTACAACACACTTTAAAGAACAAGTCACCCCCAAATCAGCTTTTCTTTGCTGATAAACTATATAGGTGAGTGTCTAATTGTGCTGAAGACACGAGTTGTCAGTAGTTTGGCACTTTAGTGCACCTTAGTTATAATTTATATATTTGGTCAGTGTTGTGCTTTGTGCTACATTCAAATTATAATCTGCCATTGCCATTGGCTAAGAGGTACATTATGGCGTTAACTGCTACATTATGGCACAATGTTGTTTGAGGCAGTGTGTGTGTATTGGTTAGCAGCTCCGACCTCTAGGTCTGCCAGGCAACAGCATTTGTTGCATTTTTCAAACAGGACGTGGGAGTGGAGTCAGACTCTGGTAGAGGTGACTTGCTCTTTAAAGACTAAATAAAAACAGAAAACGCAAAATTAGGGAATAGAGGGTCAGACTTAGTCTCTTTCCGGAGTATTTCTCTTATCCAATGCCACCATCTAGTGGCTGACAAGCTAATAACACAAATAGTTTCTCCTGTTTTTTTAAGATGGCAACTTCACATTTTTTGTTTATAAATGTGCTTCTGTAGCTGACAAACAGCTAAAAGATGTTGTTTAACAAGTATTATTCTCATGTCATGCTGTGTTCTTATATATTTATATTTTACAGACTTTCTTGCCCGCAAAAAGTTCAACTCTGCATCAGCTGAGGTATTCCTTAAATTTGAAGCATGTAAGCTAACACTATTGGTTAATTCTGGTCGGCGCTCAGTTTCCTATTGCACGGAGCTCTATGGGGCAGGGGGCGTGCTTAGCAAAAAAAAAAAAAAAGACGTGTTGCTTACATTATATCGCAGTACATAAGATAATCACTTTTACAGATTTCAGAAAAATCATACACAATTTCTGAAAGGGGAAAACTCTGGAAATATACTTTAAAACCTATAGAGCTCCAGACCCCACGTGACTCTCAGTTAGTAGACGCCATATTGGGAGGTAAAAGAAGCTAAACAAACACGGATCGTAACCATGAACGTGAATGAGATCAGCTTGGATTTTACTTCGTCTGCGTTTACTTCACACTTTAAAACCAAAGAAATCGTTTTATATAGTCAGAAATTAAATAGACTAAACATCTCCGACCCTTACCGTGCCCCTGGGATACTTTTTAAAAACGCCAGAAGCTGTCGGAGCGGACTTCTTACCGAACCTGGCCGGGGAACCCCTCGGGATTTACCCGGAGGAGCTGGCCCAGGTGGCTGGGGAGAGCCTCTCGACGCTACTGCTCCCGCAACCCAACTCCGGATATGCGGAAGAAAATGGATGGACAAATAACAGATTTACACGTAAGTAGTTTAAATAGAGTGCTGTGCTGTTTGAATGTATAAACTGAACGCCAAGAGAAATCACTAGTTTGATTGTTTTCCGTGAATAAAATAAATATGTCAGGCAGGAGCGTCTCAGGATCTGTCTGAGATCTGTCTCGGTGAGACAGATAATAGCAATCCAAAGTGCTTTTTAAGTGTGATCTGACAATTGATCAACCATTGCTTAAAAATTAAATACAGCTTAGCCGGTTAATTGCTGTGATCATAAAACACGTAAACGGCAGCACGCAGAAATCATAGGGCAACGTTTTATGTGATGTTTACTTGTTGCTATGAGTAATAAGACAGAAAAAGCCACGCCAAAATAAGTTTAGGAAGCCCACTAAGAATCGTAATAAAAGCATTTAAAATAAATACCATACACAGTTGAGGAATCATTGGTTTAAGTACCTGATATGAAGCGGTCGCTGCATAAGCGAAAACCTTTACTCTCGGGATCCCACAGTTTCATTTCAGCCCGGTCACTAGCGCGTTTTATTACAATGATCTAACGTTTGCGGCGCTCCGGATCTTGGAGAATCCTGTAGATGGCTCATTCCTTATGTCATCCGTGTCTATTCTGCATCCTGGGGCACAACAGGAATCTACCATATTTCCTGTCTGATTGCATTTTCTGACAATAACAAATAGTCCAGCTGCCGGCTTCTACCTGCCAATATGGCACCGTTTGGATTTGAACTGTTGCATGCCGGGAGAAGTGACGTCAACTCCCGCAGCTCTATAGACAACAGATGATGAAGACGAGGAATCTATTAAATCCATCAGCAGATCTTACATTAACAGGAATTAGCAACATATTCAAAAAGTATTTTTGATGAGGGTGTGTTTTTTAACTCTTCCCTTTAGGTGTAATGAAATGCTTGGAAATATGAATAATTAGATTTGATTGACAGGTGGCATGAGCGTCAGAGCTAGCGCTAATGGCTTGCTAACTGTAAACTGACTGAGGATAGCAGAGGCTTTCGGGCTTTGGTGGCCTACCGCTGTCAAAGGTCAGTGAGGTTGCTGTTGCACAAGGGTAATGAAGCAATCTTCATTACAGGGGTTTTCTATTGTTTGTACAGCACTTTAAATAAATACTTGCACCCTAACCCTAACCCTTCAGCACTGCACTTTAAGCATGGATTTGCACATCAAGAACATTTGCGCATGAAGGTTTAATTGAGTCTTTATTGAGCATTTTTAATAATTTGGATGTAGACTTTTGTTCCAGGTGCTCCTCATTAGAATTGTGGTGGTTGCCTATGAGGACAGAGGATTGACAATGGGAAAAAAAGGTCTACTGATGAAGTTCAGCTTAATTAAAGGCAGTGTAACGTCTAATTTTGTAAGTGAGTGCAAAGAGGTTGCTTAAATATTTCTCACCTGTTTTCTTTGTCCTCTCCAGGGTGTTTGGGCAAATGTTTCACTCAGGGTCCAGACACTCTTTAAATGTTCCGGGAGAGGCCATAGGTGAAGGAGTGTGGGGTGTTTTGTATGTAGGGTTTCCTGTTTGGGGCTGCGCAGTGGTTAGAACTGTTGCCTTGCAGTGAGAAGGTCCTGGGTTTGCTTCCTCGGATCTTTCTGCATGGAGTTTGCATGTTCTCCCTGTGCATGCGTGGGTTCTCTCCGGGAACTCCGGCCTCCTCCCACGGTCCAAAAACATGACTGTTAGGTTGATTGGTCTGTCTAAATTGTCCTTGGGTGTGAGTGTGTGCATGATTATTTGTCCTGTGTGTCTCTGTGTTGCCCTGCGATGGACTGGCTCTACGTCCAGGGTGTACCCTGCCTGATTGCCCCTTGACCGCAGGAGATAGGCACTAGCCTTCACTTTGAAGTTGTTCAACCGTGTTTTGCGTTAGCATGTAGTTAATATGTCTCGTTGATCTCCAACCATGGCAGAGGAGCAGAGCATTGAGCTAACGTAAGCGGCCAGGGCACCCGGCTCTGATTGTGGTGGTCGAGGCTCTGCTTGTAGTTTAGTGGTCCAGCTCCACAGGAGACCAGCACAGCCTTGCACGGAAGGCAGGTGGCCCTGTGGGTTGGTTGCCCCGAAGCTCCGTGTTAGCTTTGGAGGTTAGCTCACTTAGTAGCTACATTTGTTCATTTGCTCCCACCCTCCCAGCCCCATGCTCAGCTCCACCTTTTCCCATATTTGGTTTGTCTAGGCATGACGAGACGTGTGACACGGCCAAACTGGTGGCGGTGAGAACTGGCTTTTTGGCGTCAAAAGACAAGAATGTGGTTTGTCAAGTATCTATGTCCACGGTTTGGACCTAGAAAATGGTGTTTAGCATCATCTTGTTTCCTCTGGCGTTGTGGGTTTCTGGTTCTGGCAAACGCATCTCAGAAGAGAGGGTTGAGTGTTCCATGACCGTGTTTGCATAGAAAACCTAGCTTGTTCTGTAGATTTGTTATAACAGCTTTAATGTCATTGAACCAAAAAGCCAAGATTCATTGGGGCTGTATGGTTCATGTGTGTGTTGAAAACGCTCTACTGTCAGCTTTTTTGGACTCGCCTCCATTTGTAGAACATTTAATAATTTATACATAAACTATAGTTTTTGTTTGTTCTTTACCGTGTGAATAAAAATAAAACGTGCCTACGTGGTTGGTTAGTAGTTCAGTGCTTATAATGAACTTTTAATTCATGTAAGTAATTAAAAGTAGTGGATTACTCAGTTTTGCTGGTGTGATGCCTCGTGTAAAGCTACTGCAGGAGTTACAGCGTCCATTCAGCCTTGTGTGCGGAGAGGGTCAGTATAAAAGCCGGTGGACATTAAATGGGAGTGGCGGAGTGTGTTAGCACCAGCAGCCAGTGAGCAGAAGATTTGTAATCTCTGTCAGAGCGCTGCGGTGCCATTGGCTTCTCTCCTCCTGAAGAGCCACCGGCACCGAGTCAGCGAGGGGGGAAGGTCCCGGGCTGGCTCTCCAACATGAACCGGTCTCCTCACAGCCGCCTGAAGAAGCGCGTTCAGAACTGATCCTGGCTCAGTTTCAGGGACATTAGACGCCTGGGTCCTGAAGGACGTATGACTCCACCGGCGCATCTCCTGTTCTCATTCTGCTAAAAGCTACTGGCAGTTTTTCCTTTTTTTCCCCCTTTCTTCATGGCGTCTCCTCAACAGTCAAGGATTCAGTCGTATCTGGAGAAGAATAAAATCGGACCCCTGTTTGAGGTGAGCGCACAAAACACCCAGAAGTTTATTGGCTGATTTGCGCCAAACTGATATTTATTTATAGTTGTGTGCTTTAAACGAGCAAACGCCTGCTGTCACTGATGATTTCAAGCAGGTCACTCCTCGTAGCCCGTGTGTTATAGGCGTTAAACAAATCTGCAGGTCTCATTGAAAACCGTGTGTTGTGGTGCACCAGGCTCTCCGCGTGAAACGTCCCACTGCGCTCCGTGCTGGACCCCTCTGCACTGGAGGCTGCGTTTACCTCCACCATCAGTCTGTTATCTGCATTTCACAAGATGGAGATGTAGCCTCACTGGCTGACTCACTGTTAAAGTTTTGCAAATTTTCTAGATTTTTAGCCAAAATTTGGTGTTTGAAGCCAGCCACACTAGTTGAAACTCAAAGCATTCATGACACCTACATTGTTTGCCAACACAGTCAAAATATCCAATTTCACAGGCTAACCTTTAACCTGAACCAGAAAAGCAAATTTAACAGTTCTTGAGCTAAAATTTCTTTCTCAGTAGCTGAGAATAATCTCCATTTTATGTTTTCAAATACTATGTATATGTATAGATTACGTGTAGTCCGATATATTGGTTGGCTGATAAATCAGGCTGATATTTACCATTTTTAAATACATCGGCTGAAATACCTCAGTAGTATGGCTGATTTAGAGTCAGGCACATTCAAGGGCAGGCCAGTGCTGCTATTTAAGTGTTTCCGTTCTTAAAATAAGTAAGTAAGTAAGTAAGTAAGTAAATAAATAAATAAATAAATAAAAACCATACTTTCGATAAATGTTTTAAAACAATTCCGTCTTTTTATAAGAATAAAGTAGAATTAGTATGTGGCAAAATGAGTTGGCGATATAAATAAATTTAGGATAAAAAGCTTGCAACAACGCCACCCTGGGTTAACCCCCAGAGAAGGGTAGAATAAAGGCCCGTAGTTTAAAAAATAAATCACGACGGGAACAGATGGTGTCTTTCCAATGAAACAAATCTTTATTAAAATATCTCAGCTGAAAACATGAGTGCTCGGAATCCAATATCACCAGTTATTCCACGAGAAGTAACCACTTTGGCCCAGGGCCAACTAATACTAAATGAAGTTAAACCTACACAAATTAAACGCATGAAACGCACCAAATAATAATAATAATAATAATAATAATAATATATGAAACAGCAAACGAAATCTGGATACTTCCTTTTAAGCCAGTGGGCTTTCTGGTGGTTGCCCCGGCAACCAGGCATCTGACGCCCAACAATTAATAAAACAAATCAATACAGATGAAACCGATCAATGCAGACGAAACAGATCAATACAGACGAAACAGCAGGGATGCAGCCCCCTGGGCACACCACCGGCTCCTGAGATGGAATTGGTCGTGGCAGGACGGCGAGATGGAGCAGCAGAGGGGCCGGTGTACCACCGACGACGTCAGACGCTCAGCTGATCTCGGTGGAGTGCTGCAGACAAAGCCGAATGACAAAGCAGCTCTTAAGCCAACCGCGCACCCATCCATTTTCATCCGCTTATCCGGAGTCGGGTCGCTGGGGCAGTAGCCTAAGGCGAGAGGCCCAGACTTCCCTCTCCCCAGCCACTTGGGCCAGCTCCTCCGGGGGAATCCCAAGGTGTTCCCTGGCCAGGTGAGAGACATAGTCCCTCCACCGTGTCCTGGGTCTACCTTTAAGTCTCCTCCTGGTTGGACGTGCCCAGAAAACATCACCAGGGAGGCGTCCAGGAGGCATCCTGACCAGATACCCGAGCCACCTCAACTGGCTCCTCTCGATGTGGAGGAGCAGCGGGTCTACTCTGAGTCCCTCCCGAATGGCAGAGCTTCTCACCCTATCTCTAAGAGAGAGCCCAGCCACTCTTCGGAGAAAACTCATTTCGGCCGCTTATATTTGCGATCTCATTCTTTCGGTCACTACCCAAAGCTCGTGACCATAGGTGAGGGTAGGAACGTAGACTGACTGGTAAATCGAGAGCTTCGCCTTCTGACTCAGCTCTCTCTTCACCACGACAGACCGGTACAACGCCTGCATCACTGCAGATGCAGCACCAATCCACCTATCGATCTCATGCTCCAGTTTTCCCTCACTCGTGGACAAGTCCCTGAGATACTTAAACTCCTCTACTTGGGGCAGGATCTCATCCCTGACCCGGAGAAGGCATTCTACCCTTTTCCGAATCAAGACCATGGTCTCAGATTTAGAGGAGTTGATTATCATCCCAGCTGCTTTACACTCGGCTGGGAACCGCTCCAGCGAAAGCTGAAGATCACGTTCTGATGAAGCCAACAGGACTACATCATCTGCAAAAAGCAGAGACCTGATCCTCAGGCCACCAAAACGGACGCCCTACACACCTTAGCTGTGCCTAGAAATCCTGTCCATAAAGGTTATGAACAGAATCTGTGACAAAGGGCAGCCTTGGCAGAGTCCAACTCTCACTGGGAACGAGCCCGACTTACTGCCGGCAATGCGGACCAAGCTCTGACACCGGTCATACAGGGACCTAACAGCCCGTATCAGAGGGCCTGGTACCCCATACTCCCGGAGTACCCCCCACAGGGCCCCTGGAGGGACGTGGTCAAACGCCTTCTCCAAATCCACAAAACACATGTAGACTGGTTGGGCAAATTCCTACACACCCTCCAGGATCCCCCTAAGGGTATAGAGCTGGTCCAGTGTTGCACGGCCAGGACAAATACCACATCGCTCCTCCTGAATCTGAGGTTCAACAATCTGACGGACCCTCCTGTCCAGAACCCCTGAATAGACCTTACCAGGAAGGCTCAGGAGTGTGATCTCCCTGTAGTTGGAACACACCCTACGGCCCCCCTTTTTTACACAACGTCCTGAGTAGAGGTCAGCAGCACACCGTCCCCACTATAGATAGCGTTGGTAGCGCACTGCTTTCCCCCCTGAGGTGCCGGATGGTGGACCAGAATCTCCTTGAAGCCATATGGAAGTCTTGCTCCACGGTCTCACCAAACTCCTCCCATGCCCGGGGTTTTGCCTTGGTGACCACCCGAGCCGCGTTGCGCTTGGACTGCCGGTACCCGTCAGCAGCCTCTGGAGTCCCACAGGCCAAAAAGACCTGATAGGACTCTTTCTTCAGCTTGACAGCATCCCTAACCGCCGGTTTCCACCAGCGGGTTCGGGGGTTGCCACCACTACAGGCACCGACGATCCTGCGACCACAGCTCCGGTCGGTCGCCTCAACAATGGAGGCACAGAACAGGGTCCATTCAGACTCAATGTCCCCCGCCTCCCCCGTAACACTTTGAAAGTTTTGTCGGATGTGGGAATTGAAGCTCCTTCTGACAGGAGACTCTGCCAGACGTTCCCAGCAGACCCTTGCGCAGCCACACTGCAAACAAACAAAACTGGCATGTCTCCCTGGATCAGCACAACCCTCCCCAAGCAGAGGCAAGGACTTACGGTCATTGCGCCGCTGGATCAAATCAGCCTCATACGGCCGACACACCCACACGGGCAGAGAGCTGACAAGGAGTACCTGGATGCTGTGTTAACTCTCTAACCTCATGCGCAGCTCCATTCTGCAATTGCACGCTGCAAACAAATTAAGATGGAGAAATGAGCATGAACTAACGCCACACCGGCAACACGGAGGGAGTGTACTTACGATCGCAGCTTGCACTTGGAGTCTCTCAGTACCCCAGCACCTGAAGTGCCATTCCAGAGCTGTCATGCTGGAAGAGCAGACACCTGCCTTTTATTGGATGGCTCACCCCGCCCTGCAGTCAGCCTAATGTGAGCCACCTGGTTCTGTACTGGGATGGGACCAGACAAGATCTGTCTGTCCCATCACAAGTAGAAAAACCCAAATCCGGCGATCTCTACTAAAGTTACAGGAAAATATCGATACACTGAAATATTGCGATATTTAACCCTTTGGTTGATTTTTAAAAGCAGTGTGTGGATTTTTTCTATTAACAATCTTCATGCAAACATTTAGTGTTTAAAACTCCTTGTTATGTTCTTTCTGTGTTTTTTGTTCCATTTCTGTTGGTTTTCTGTTATCTAACACACAGAGCAACAAAGTTTTTGCCCTTATTTTGCTACAGTTTCAGCTACTTCCAGTCGCCTTTGGCAGAGCTTTGGTGGTGTCACTTCTGTGGCTGTTTATCGATGGGCAGTAGTTCATGGGACTTTGTGATTGACAAGGAAGGCACGGGCAGTAGAGGGCAACATCGTCGACAGATGGATGTGACACCACCAAAGCTCTGACAAAAACTTTGCTATTCCGTGTGTTTGTAAGAACAGAAAGCCAGTGGATTTAGTGTGTTGTGTTTTGTGTGGTGCATTTCAAACTGTGACTGCTAGGTGGCAGCAGCTTGCAGCATTCAGATAGAAGAAAGTGATATAGCGATAACGCTGGAAGCTCTGGTTGGAGTTCTCCAACTAAATTCAGTCTTAAAAATTGTGAAATTTTACAGCAGGCATCACTAGAATCATTATTAGATTCAAATGAACACTGCGATCACCTGCACTTTTGTCTTTGCACACCTTTGCCATGCATGGAGGTGGCACACAGACAAACAGGCTGTGCATGTAAAACAGATGTGGGCTTGTTTCAGCACCCTGGACAGAGACTTGGTACAGAGGACGGTAAATCTTCTAAGTCCCAAAGCAGTCAGTGAGGCCAAACTGCTCAATAATAGGCCTCTGGTGTGTACTCTCCTTGTTTGTTTTTCCTCCATCCGTATTCCCCTTTCACCTGTCTGCCTCCCCTGGCCTCCTGTTTGTATTTCAGCATTATTTTTCCTCATTTTAATCTACACCCATTTCATATGACAATAGAAGATGATTAAACCAAGTGCAAAGGCGATGCAGTTAATGGTGATCAGAAGGACATAATGATGTTTGTAAGTCATCAAAGAGACGCTTTAGGACGCAGATCCTTTCTGAGTTGTTGTATGCTAAATGCCGTATCGTAGAGCTGTAGGAATATATGAACTCTTT